TGTTCTTCCACTATTAGATGCATCTTGATGAGCTCTACAACTTTTGTTATATACCCAAGAATAATTTACTTAATAAAAAAAAGTTTTAGATAGGGGTGCTGCACTTTCGTACTTATAGTAAAATTTATATATAAAAAAAAAAATTTTGAATCAGGTGACTGGAGAATCGCCTATTAAACTAGTTATAAAACGCAGTAGAAAGCCCTTACTAATTTGTATCAGGTTTATTAAACAATAAAGTTACATAGTTAAAGTTTAAATTTAATTTTTATATATTGATATTATATATTTCTCTTTTAATATATGAGTGTCGGCAAGAGAATATCTGTAAATCTTATAAGATTTGTGAGTTTTCTCTTGGCAGCACTCGTTTATACCTACTACTGTTATGTAAGATTAGTAGTGTAAATAATGCTATAAAGCAAGCATTTAGTATTTCGATTCTATTTTTAACAGACCATCTGGATTCTATTGAATTTGAATCAGATTATATATAAAGCTAATTTTAGACATATTCTTAGATCTATTATTTAAATTCTTTGACCATCAAAGTAAAAATCTCTGATCTGAATATTTGGATTAAAAGATTAATCGATAATTAGATTTAGGATCGAAACACTACAAGTAAGTTGAAAAAGGTAAATACAGCTCATCTCTTTTTTACAAAGTTATACTGATTAATTTAAATAAGCCAAATTTTATAAGAATCTAAGTAGAAGACTATTAAAATTCAAAATTTTAAGATTTTAGTAAAATTGCTAGCCAGATATTCAAAAACATGATAAAATATAGATCAAGCTTTTTAAAAATTTTATTTTGTAGGCTGGCAAAAGTATAATCTCTTAGGTCTATACAGGCCCCAACAACAAATACTAATCTTAAATTAATGCATTATCTGGTATTAGGTAACCACAAACAAGGTATTTAAGAAAGCCTAAAATCGAATATTGGTATTACTAATTTTGGAGTTATTACTAAGACAACAAATAAAACTTGCAAAAGTGAAATTTGCAATACTTAGCCGCTTTTTGATGCAATAAAAAAAATATCTAAATACAGTCAGACCTTTATAAATACATACTCTTTCTAAATGCATACACAGCTTCTGGCCCAAATATATACTTGACTTCTATAAATGCATATTTTTTTATTATTCTCTAAATGCATGTTGTTAGAGTGTGGCCCCAAAGGTATATACTTAGAAAAGCCTGACTATATATATTTCAGCAGCAATGAGATATCTAAGTTTTATAGTTATATATAAACTTACTCATATTTCAAAAATCAAGATAGTTTAACAATATTATAGCTTCTGATAGTAATATTTTGAGTATTAATAATAATGGAGAAGGAACAAAAAGCCATGAATCCTATCGATACACCTAGTAATGTGCTATTTATATGATAGCTTAATTTTTTTCACATACAGTACATACAGTATACAGTATATAGTATATAATTAAAAATAAATCTGCATTATTACTACAGCAAAATCTTTAATATCAGGAACGAAGTAATGAATATTATGAAGTCGAGAAAGAAATTATATGCATATCCAAAATCTAATACCCAATTGGTCAGCATGATTATAGTTATCACATCTTGTATATTCTTCACCACTATTAAAATCATAACCTATCTCCGTCAAAGCTACGAATCTGCATTGCTACTGTTAAAATCTCTGTTAAGTACTGAATTTACACTACAAAATCTGGAATCCACCTATTACTAAAATCTTTAACTTATTATTACTCAAATCTTAAACACTCATTGACTTACTTATTGATAAAATTAATCTATTAATATTCAAAACACTAACCGATCTACTGTTGAAATAATAAACTCACTCACCCATTTTTAAAATCACCAACGCCTATTGTTAAAATCATTATTCTACTTACTATTAAAATCGTTAATCATCCATTATTATAAATCACTAATTTACCTATTTATTTTTTAAATTATGATATTCATTAACTAAGCTATGCAGATACCAACATTAACTATTTATCAGCCAATCCTATCACCCAAACTTTATTAATAAAATGATTGTCAATAAAATAATTCATGAAATTGATTTATACTATAATTATACTAAATGTTTAAAGCAATAACTAAAAATTTTCTTTTATTGTTTTCTTTATATATATTGTAATTAAACATATTTACTAATTCTAAATAAAGCTTTCCATTCCTGATTTTAGCATGACTACATCGCGCAGCTACCTAATTAATTAATATAAAACAGACTACATAGCAAAAATTCTCACATACAGTATATACAGTACTGTACATGACACATTACTAGATACATCTAATTATGAATTGTTTAAATATATCTATTAATATAATCAACTGTTCAACCCTTAAAATTCAATCATAACTGAAATTTGAACCTTATATTTGATTCAATCTTAGCTTAAAATTGTATTCTAATTCTAAAACATAAGAGAAGTAATTTACATCTGTTAATAAAATGTTTAGAACAAGTGTTATCTATTCTAGACAAGTCAACTCTCTCAAATCTGATCCTAAATAATTTGAACACTTAATAAACTTTGTAAAAAGCTTTAGAACGTTTATAAAGTTTATTATGAATTCGAATTAGCATATAGAACAAACTGTTTAGAATAAAAAGTGTTGACTATTTTAATTTTAGTGTTTAGTATATTTATTCTATATTTTCGCAATATTAATATTTTTTAAATTTATTCTTTATAATAAATCGCTATTGCTATCATATTAGTCATCATTTTTATTTGTCATGTGATCTAAATTAATAAATCTTATTTGTTAATTATTAAAAAAAAAATTTTTCAAATCCCATTTCACCAACTCGGCCAGAATATGAAAATTAATTATATTAATTTGTGTCGTCTAACTTGTATAGCCGTGATTATTGCTAGATTTTCATCACTAAGCAAAACTACAAGAAACAGGTTATTGGTTGCTTTTAATGTACATCACAAGATCCAATCATAATTGGCTTGCATTTCATACTTTATTAATACTTGAGTGAAGATTCATAACTTAAAGTTATTATCTATACCAATAAATAGGCTAAGAGCTATTTCATACTGGTTTGTCTTCACTATGTTATTATGGATGATAACATCGTAAAACTTGAGCCAGAGTTAATTCTTTTGTTGACCACTTATCTAAAACAAACCAGTTAATTATTTAATTTATCCTCTAAACGTAAAATAACCATATATTTAGGATCCTGTTCTTTTAAATTAAGAAGATGTTGCAACATCATAGCAGTATCAGATTCATCATAAACTCTTATACCTTGAAATTTGCTAATAGTATTATATAAGATCTTTTTTTTTAATTTGATATTAAGAAAATTCTTTTACAAATAAATCATATTGTTGATTAGCATTTAACTGGCCAATAGTGGTATAATACTCTATCTTATCTAAAATTTTTTAAGAAAATTTTAAATGCTTTGGAGCTAATTCTATAGTTTCTACATTACATATATGATTATGTTTATTTACTATACTAATTAAAGCTATAAGATTCATATGTTTACTAAGATAAAAACTAACTAGTTATCGACAATTTGATTTATAAGAAACTCCATCATGATGTATACTAACATCCTCTACTTTTTTTGGTTTGTTTATACCAGATTTCTAATAAGCATAATCACAATATCGGATAATAGATTTATTAACCAGATCAAGATCTTTATAATATTTAATAACACAAAACTATATTGCTTTGAGTATGCATCAACTGCACTTTGTACAGCATTCTAATTATTAAAAAAACCCCTACTTGTAGTATTAATTTATTAACATTTACAGATAAATTACTATTCATCTTCAAATTTTCAGAGTTAGCCAAATTATTGTTCTCTTCAAATTTTTCAGAATCAGGCAGCTCAAAATTCATAGAATCAGTCAACTCCAGATTTGTAGAATCAGACAACTCCAAATTCATAGAACTAGGCAACTCCAAATTCGTAGAACTAAATAACTCTAAATTTATAGAATCAGGCAACTCCAAATTCATATAACCAGACAACTCCAAATTCGTAAAACCAGACAACTTCAAATTTGTATGACTAGGCAACTCCAAATCTGTAGAACTAGACAACTTCAAATTCATATAACCAAGCAACTCCAAATCTATATAACTAGACAACTCAATATCCATATAACTAAGCAACTTAATATTTATAGAACCAGACAATTCATAACTTGCAGGACTAGACAATTCATAGTTCATAAGACCAGACAATCCATAGTTTATAGAATTAGACAATCCATAGTTTACAAAACTAAATAATCCATAGTTCAAAGGATTAGATAACTTATAGTTCAAAAAAATCAAATGACTTATAGTTCAAAAGCTTAGATGACTCATAGTTCAAAAAACCAGACAACCCACAGTTCAAAAAACCAGACAATTCATAGTTTGCAGAACCAAACAATTCATAGTTCACAGAATTAGACAACTTATAGTTTGCAGAACTAGATAATCTATAGTTTGCAGAACCAAACAATCTATAGTTCAAAGAATCAAACAACTCATAGTTCAAAGAATCAGATGATTTATAGTTTGATAAAGCAAACAACCCATAGTTCGATGAACCAGACAACCTATAGTTCGAAGAACCAAACAACCCAAAGTTTAAAGAACCAAGCAACTCATAATTCACAGAACCAAACAATTTACAATTCACAGGACCAGATAGCTTAAAGCTATTAACACCTGAAATAGTTTCAAATTTAGAATTAGCAATACTAGAAGAAAGACTTTCTACTTCATAATTTATAGAATCAGGAAAGTTTTTTCTAAATTCGGTAGACATTACTTGTTTTTCTTTTTCACTTTATAACTATATTGAAAATATAATAAGAGAAAATTCTACTTAGTACCTTTTTACAAAAGAATCACTTAAAGCAAGTTATAAAATAGCATCTTGGAATCTTTTTTTTTTAAAATTCACAATGCTTAATAACTAACTTATAGCATACAATAAAAGTGACATGAAGCAAAAGAGACAGTAGCCACTAGGTTGTTGCAACTCTAAAAGTTTAATATTTGTCCTTTTTATTTCATTAGGAATTAATAACTAATCACAACCTACCCACAATGTAATAAGAGACAAAGTCAAATTAGAGTAGTTAAAAGTAGTTGCAAGTTACTGTAAAAAAAATACTATCATTATTATAATTTGATTTTACTACTATTGTATTACATAATACAAGTCACCAGGTTTTTATATAATACTAGTAATGATCACTAGTGGTAATAAATAGTAAATTTCTATATTATACAGTATAGTATATAGTTTATATGTTATAATTATCTAAAAAAACCTTTTTTTTTATTAAATTAATTAACCTTCTATATTAAGAAAAAGTTGTAGAGCTTATTAAGACACATCTAATAGTGGTTATATCATCCAAATTGATAAGATGACAAAATATTATTAAAAAGCATGTTAATGACTACTGTATATAAAATTTCTATAGAAACAATATATTGTTTCTATAGAAATTTTATATAGTTGTTGATATATTTTTTAATAATATCTTAACATTTACTAAACAGATTTAGATGATCTAACCACTATTAGATGCAACTTAATAAGCTTTACAACTTTCTCTTAATACAGAAGATCAATTAATAGGCAAATCACGAGTCATTTAAACAAAATATTTTTTTTTATATAATATTAAAATGATTTAAAAACAAGACATATCTTCAGAACTTAAAAGAAGCTTAATAGAATGAAACTATAATGAAATTGAATTAAAATAAAATAAACAATTTCTATTTACTACTTTGAAGTCTACTTATACTTGTTTATTATAAAATCTTCTAAACTTTAATTCTAAACTTAAAAAATATACTAAAAAGTACACACCAAAAATTTGTATTTTTAGTAACTTGTTTATTTTACACTATCTTTTATTTTATTTTAATCTAATTTTATTTTAATCTGTTACAATTATTATCTTAAAAAAAATCTGATTTTCTATACAAATAGATTATTTTAACAAGCCAAAAATAATTAAAAAGTTTTAATAATTTGAGTATAATAGTTTTATAAGTAGATTATAAAAATAACCAGTAATTGAAAAAGGTTTACTAAAATAGAAAACTGATCTTATTAACTAAACTAAAATTAATAACAATTTGATTAGCTATATTTGTAATACCAAGCAAGAAAGATATTAAAATATATATAAACAGTATAGCAATAATTGTAAGTATAAAAAAAAGAAATATAATTTGTTAAACAAATAATGATTAAAACAAAAAATTATAATCTAGTATGAAGTATTATAGAATTAAATAAAATAAAAAAATTAATTAAATTTAGTTAATAGACAATTTGCAAAATATCTAGACAAAATTTTTTTTTATATATAAATTTTACTATAAGCTTGAAAGTGCAGTACTCTTATCTAAAACCTTTTTTTACTAAGGGATATAACAAAAATCAGATGATTTTTTAAGGGGAGAAAAGAAAAAATTTAAAATTATATATAAAGATTTGATTAAAATATATATTAAGAGGAGAAAATGATAAACTTCTAATAAAAAAAAACAAGTGATAAACCACTCTTAAACTTCTAACAAAAGTTGTAGAGTTTATCAAAATATATTTAATAGTAAAAAAACATTAAAATTGGCTTGTGGTTCTTGAAAAATCTTTAAAAAACCTTTTATTAATATATAAAATTTCTTTAAAAAAAATTAATTTTTTTTAAAGAAATTTTATATTAACAAAAGGATTTTTAAAGATTTCTTAAGAACTATTAAGCCAATTTTTAATATTCTTTTACTATTAAATATATCTTGATAAACTCTATTACTTTTACTTAGTATGTAGATATTTAATTTGATTAGTTAAAAAAAAAACCATGCACTCTTTCCTGTACACATATGTGAAGGACAGAGAGTTTATTAAAAAACAAAATTACTTTATATTACAAGTTCAAAAACTACAAAAAACCAGAACCAACAAGGACAGTGGCCCTTGTACCAAAGAAAAGAAAACTCATGTCTTCTAAAAGTCCAGAGAGCAACAACAAAATGGCTAAAAAAAACAACTTTAGTGAAAACTCGCAGGGAAAAGAAGTCCTTTCTCCAAAACAACAAACCAAAGGGAAGAATATTGCTATTCCATCAGGAAGCTCTTCAAGCAATAATACAACTATGAACAAAGTCAGGGGGAAAGAGTTAGCTTCTCAAGAAGTGAAAGACCAACACCTCTACTCACTTGACAAACAGTCACGTAACAATAATAATCAAAATAACAAAACAAGTCATGTGTCAAAACACATGTCTGAACACGTTAAACAAAATATGACTGCAAATACAGCTTTCTCAGAAAATAAACCATATACCAATGGTCCAACCCCAGAAGAAAACAAACTTCAAAATCAAGATTCAACTCCTAGAAAATGGTCTAGTCTGTTTGCAAAATTAAAAAGGGGGCAGTCAACTTATTCAGACTTCTCTCCAAGAAGTCAAATTAAAATCAAAAATGAAAATACATTAATTATAGAAAGACCAAACATCCAAAGCACCTTCAATGAAATAATAGTTTCTCTTTATAAATGTGTCAAACACGATGTGGTGGCAGCAAAACAGCATTTTAAAAAAAGTACTTGCACACATTTAGAGATCATCTTTACAAATGAAGATAAACTCAAGCATTATGCCTCTAGAGGTATTAATATTTTTAACAGAACATATTTTGGTTACATACCAACAGATCTGCACAAGTCTTTTCTCCCAGTAAAGCTTAGAAATGTTCCTCTAGGTAGCAAGGAGGAGGTTATCACACTTATCAAGGATGCTTTCAGAGACATAGGAAAAATAGCCTCAATTAAGCCACTAGTTATCAAAAGCACTCCATATCTAACAGACTAGTGGATAGTAATTTTTGAAACTACAGAGGATGCCGATCTAGAAAAAAGAATCCCTCGCTTTACACATCTTAGGGATAACAAGATCACTACTGAGTGGAAAGCAGCCCCAAAAATCTGCTACTTCTGTGATCAAGAAAGTCATATTAAAAAAGAATGTCCTCAGTACCAAGAGTCAGTAGCACTATGACAACACTACCAAGCTTTTAAGGAAGCTTTCAAGAAAAGAACCAGAGAATCCAAATATGCACAGCTTTCTGAAGAGGAAAATACCTTGGAGTACCACCAGGAAAACCAAGAGACTAGTACAGAAGAGTCGAGCAGTAAGGAAGAAATATTTGAAAAGACTCAAGAAAATAAAACAAATGATATGAAAATATCATATGACAAAAACCAAAAGAAGGAGTTAAATGATATGAAAATAATACACAAAGAAGCTTACAAAGAGGAAACTAAGTCTACTCTGGTGATTATGGAAGAAGAAAAATAACAAAAAGAGAATGGTCAAGTCAGTTCATTCTCTAAGGAAGAACTCTCTACAAGAGACGAACTTGCTTTTGATACCACATCATCAAACTCAGTTGATACTAATGCAAACAGGCTTATAGAAAATGCTCCTCAATCAGATCCAATGGATGAGGACTTCACTACTATAACTTATAAGAAGAAAAAGGATAAAAGATCTAGAAATGATCGCAAATTAATTGCAAAAAGGCAGGCACCATATAAGAAAGGACGGAGTGAAGAGAATCCTCCAAAAGCTCAATAAGAGCATATCTCTACTATCTTCTCTATATGGTAGCAAAAACTTTAATTGAAATCGCATCATTAAACGTAAAAGGACTTAATAACCAAAACAAAAGACAAAAAGCAATGACATTATTGAAATCATATAAGTTAGATCTTATTATGTTACAGGAAACAAACTTAAATAATCAGACTATACAAAAATTTTTTAAACAACAATAGATTTACGACTCTATTTGGTCAGGAAAAACAGCAATTTTGGCAGGCAGAAAAGAGATAAAATTTCAAAATATAGAAGTCTTACATAAGGGAAGAGTTATCTCAACATTATTCTTGTATAGAGGCCACTCTTACTATATCACAAATATTTATGCTCCTCCAAATATTAAAGACAGATCAACTTTTTTCAACAAATGGTCTCTTCAACATAAAGACAATAGCATTAATGTAATAGCAGGCGATTTCAACTCAAATTTAAATCCAGCTACAGACAGAATAAGTCAGTCAACCATGCAAAGT